GCACGCGTCAAGGGTAAGATCGTCTTCTTTCTCTCTCCTTGTTAATTAATTATGTGATTGTTAATAAATATGCATGTTTAGTTACTTTAATTTGTGTGCGGATTTTTGGAGGGTTTCATTCCGCGTAGTGTTGGACACTACGAAACCCAACAACGGTATCAGAGTCACACTCATTTAATTATTGTAACTAATAATTATTTAAGGTGATTTAAATGGATTTAAATTTCTGATTTTGCTTTCTTATTAGATTAGAAGCTCGTTTTAATTAGTTTTAATCTCGTATTTATACTAATTTTGGCTCAAGAACCCAGATTTCGACCCAAAAATAGTGAATTTTGGGTGGAACCGATGTTCTAAATCAGTATTGATCCTCTTTGAAACCTGTCCAGAAGCCAAAATCCACCTAGAAACACATTTTTCGAAGGGGTCTTTCGTTTTTTACGAAAAAATTTAATTAAATCTTTAAACATTGATTAATTATGGCATGTTAATGTTAGATTATGTGTATGATTACATCATTAATCTACTACAATAATAACCCTTATTAAGCACGTTTATGAAGTCATATTTGGTGCTTAATTTGGTGAGTTCATTTTTCACATAAACTTGCAATTTCACATTTTTGCAAATTAATTGCTTCAAGTGTGAATGTTTATGATGAATTTGTAATTTTGAAGTCCCCAAACGTGTTAAAGATCCAATCTTTAATTGTTTATTTGGTTGGAACTTAACTATCTAAATTCCACGTTGAACTAATTTGGATTTAATCATTTTTGAGTTGATTAAAGTCTTAAAAGTTCAAAACTTGTGATTGAAATTTAATTAATCTTAATATTGGAAGATGTAATTTTTCAAGTTTACACAAGTTAGTGTTGGAAATTTATCATTGGATGATTGTGTTTATTTTTCCAACCCCTTTAATTTTGTCAAATCTCATTATTAATTTATGTATGGTTAAATTAATTGTGAGAATAGCCCTTCAATTTTGTAGCATCAAGATGAACCAAAAATAATTTAAAAAATGGTTCTTGAATTAATTTTGTTTTGTTCACTAAAATTGAATTTATTTTGAGTTGGACTTGATTTATTTTAATTTTTGCTCAATATTAATTCTAAAATTAATTTAGATTTAATTTTAACATCACACAAAAATCAGGATAAAATCCCGAGGACACGAGCACGCAAATCGAGGCACACAAACCTCGAGCACTCTCTTGGCCAGCCGGGTTCCTTACGCAGCCCACATGTGGCTGCCGAGGTGTGCAGGGCTGCTGGTGCTTCGATGCGTGTCTCGTGGTGCGTGTGTATGCGGAGCTTGATGCACTTGGTGCGGTGTGTGCCAGCTTCGTGCACGCTTGGTGCGATGCGTGGGGTGCTGAGGTGTGCTACAGTGGGCAGCAGAACCTAAAGCCTTTGAGGCCGAGTCTTGCGTGCACGCAAGCACGCTGATGTGGCCAACATAACACGCGAGCGATGCTGTCAGCCACTCCCACATGCTTGGTGCGGCAAGGGGTGTGCGAGGGCAGCAACCACGCATGGTAGTCGCGCTTTGGTGCCTAACACACCGAGCCTCGGGGCTTGGTGCTAGGCACTTGGGTATCTTTGGGCTATGTGTTTTACGATTTTCACCATTTTAATTATTTTATTATTTAAACAAGGCTAGGCCTTGGTTTTGCCGGCACCTGCAAAATAATTTGGCAAAATTTGGGTTAACCGAGTTAATTAATTGGATTAATTAATTTGGATTCAGAATTTAGTGGGAGCTTCGTTAATTACTTGAGCTAATTTTATTGCGTTTAAACACATAATCGGTCATTCACTAGTTTGAGTGTGCTGTGCAATGTTACTTGTTTTACACTGTGAAATGCATGGGTCATTCACTAAATGGATGAATGAATGAAATGTAGATTGTATCACAGGTTTTGTGAAAATGGCAACTAGTGGGGCCCGATTAGGATAGTAAATACGAACTGCAATCCGTTATGTATTTTTATAAATCTAAATACGGTCTGCATACCGTTGTGTATTTTTGTACCTTAATATTTAGATTAGTCCTAGTCATAATTACTAGTAGTTGCATAATTGGTGGAGATGTCTCGAAGACGGCGTTTCTAAGAAGACAAGCCAAGAGGATGCAACGAAGACCCTTGAAGACTAAAGGGGTCATGCTAGTTGCCAAATGCATCTTTTACTTATGTTTTCTATATATAATTATGCTTATATATATGAATGATATGTTAGATGCATGTTTAGGATTTCGAATGTTTTATGATTAATTAAGTTCACTTAAATCAACCAACATAGAAACTTTAGGTCCCTATAAAATTGAGCCAAATTTGTCATTCCAAGAACAACACTTACTGAACTAATGCGCATAGTGATAGGCTATGACAAAGCAAGGCATCACTATTTCTCTAGGAACGTAAGGTATACTAGGTATACAAGTTGATCTTGGTTAAGCTCAACGATACCAGTAAGGAGTCCTTAGATGTCGTGGCAATGTAGATAAAACGTCAAGGAAGCATTAGATGCGACGTTTTATCGTACAAAGAGTAGCTTAGAGCTATTAGAAATTGGATTGCTTACCTTAAAATATTAAGTGTTAAGACAAGCCAAAGCATGCTTAATCACTTTTGAATTTTGGGATGTTGGAATCATTTTATTCTCGCCTAAAAGGGACAAATATTATTGCGTGGATAAAACGCTCAATAAGATTGAAAAATTTCATGTATGCTTTAATTTCAACTTATTGGTTTTATGAATGGTTTTTCATTTCAAATTCTTTCAATTGTAAAATCATGTCTACAAATAACTCAAACAACCAATTTTCGTTACGCTCAACTCTCGACAAGGAGAAGTTGAGTGGATCAAATTTTCTTGATTGGCAAAGGAACTTGCGTATAGTACTCATGCAAGAGCAAAAGGAATACGTCCTTGATGAGAAAATGCCTGACGCTCCCAATGAGGAGGTCACTCAGGTTGCCCTAAACCGATGGCAAACTGCCAATAGGGATGTCAAATGCATCATGTTGGCCACAATGTCTCCGAACCTCCAAAAGACTTTCTTTGAAAGGGAGACGACTTTTGAGATCATTTTTGAGCTTCAAAACATGTTCCAAGAGCAGGCCCAAACTGAGAGGTTTGAAACCCACAGGCAGATCCTTGAGAGCAAGCTCAAGAAAGGAGAGCCAGTTAGCCCACATGTACTTAAAATGATCGGATTATTTGAGAACATGGAAAGGCTTGACGCTCGGTATTAGACCGAGATGGCAATTGATAGTATTCTCCATTCAATGCACAAAGGCTATGATCAGTTCAAGATGAACTATAATATGCACAGCATGGAGAAAATCCTCATCGAGCTTCATGGGATGTTGAAGCAGGCCGAGCAAACGCTCAAGGATGAGGGGAAGCATGAAATGCTTATGATTTAAACTTCGCTAGCAAAACATCATGGGTATTAGATACTGTATGTGGCTCACACCTTTGTTCCAATGCTCAGAGGCTAAGGATATATAGGAGGCTAGAGAAGGGAGAGGTCAAACTACGGGTCAGCAATGGAGCCAGGATGTCAGCCGTATCTGTTGGAACTCTCAGTTTGTCTTTGTCTTCTAGGCTTGTTCTAGAACTTGACAATTGTTATCATGTTCCAAGAGTTACCAAAAAAATTATTTCAATTTTGGTGTTGGACGCCAAGGGATTTGAATTTCGGATAAAAGACAATAGTTGTTCGTTTATTTCGATAATGTTTTTATATGGTAAGACATATTCAGAAAATGGTCTTTATGTGCTTTCTCTAGACAAACAAGTTTATAATGTTGATGATACCGCTAAAAAAGCTTAGACCATTGAGTCGAATCAAACCTACATGTGGCATTGTCGTCTTGGCCACATTAACAACAAACGCATCAAGAAACTTCTTCATGAAGGTATTCTTGACTCATTCGACTTAGAATCGTTTGAAAATCGCGAAGGATGTTTATTAGGCAAGATGATAAAGCAACAATTCTCCGAGATAGGAGAAAGGGCTAGTGACTTATTGGGCCTTATACAAATGGATGTATGTGGAGCAATGAGTACACCTGCAAGGCATAATTATCGATATTTCATCACCTTCACAGACGACTATAGTAGATATGGATATGTCTACCTTATGTCGAACAAATCTGAATCTTTTGAGAAATTCAAAGAGTTTCAGAGTGAAGTGGAAAATCAGCTTGGCAAGAAAATTTAAGCACTTCGATCGGATCGAGGTGGCGAATATTTGAGCCACGAATTCGACAATCATCTAAAAGAAAATGGTATTCTCCTAAAGTTGACACCTCCCAGAACTCCACAATGGAACGGAGTGTCCAAGAGGAGGAATCGAACCTTGTTAGACATGGTTCGATCAATGATGGGTCTTAGCGATATTCCTATCTCTTTTTAGGGGCACGCACTTCCAACCGCGGCACTAACCCTGAACCGAGCTCCGTCAAAAGCCGTTGATAAAACTCCATATGAATCATGGACGAAGAAACCTCCACGGTTGTCTTTTCTTAAGATTTGGGGTTGCGAAGCATATGTCAAGAGATTAATTTCACACAAACTTCACCCAAAATCAGACAAGTGTTTCTTTGTGGGATACCAAAAGAAACTAAAGGATATTACTTCTACAACAAATCCGAGAACAAAGTGTTTCACTAGTAGAAAAAATGAAATAGGCACCGCAAAATGCACACCGATTTTTAAAAACAATGCGAAAAAAATAGGCGGGATTGAGGGGAAGACTTTTCTCACCTATTTTAACAAAATCGGTGCAAAAAGTGAGTAAATCACACCGGTTCGGTTTGAACCTATGCGAAATCTATTGTTAAATAAAAATTAAAAAAAAAAAAAAAAAAAAAAAAAAAACGGTCAATCCTCTTTCTTTCTCTTTCATTTCCTCGATCTTTCTTTCTCTTAATTTCAAAAGAAAAAATGGAACACACCAACAAAAACCTCTTTCTTTCTCTTAATTTCAAAAGAAAAAATGGATGTAAGTCTTCTCTTATTTTCTTTTCTCTTCTAATTCAAAAAATTAATGATGATTAAGGGTAATAATATATTGAATTTGATGTTAACAAACAAGAATATAGGTGGCCTGGAATTATCATGTGCCGGCATTTGGAGGGTGGGATTATGAAGAAAATGATCTGCCTTATACGCAGTGTATACTATTTTGTGATGAGATGTGATTGGTACGTTTTGTTGATAGGTATGGTAAATCATTAATCATGCTGTTACTGTAGTCGGGTATGGGACTGATACATATGGGACTGATTATTGGGTGTTGAAGAATTCGTGGGGTGAAAGTTGGGGAGAAAATGGTTATATGAGGATCATTAGAGGTCAAAACAAATGTGGTATTACTTCCTACGCTTCTTATCCTATATGATTTTATCAAACCTTAGTTTGCACAAAGAATGACCAGATCATGAGTTTTGGTCAGTTTGCCAATGTTCTGAGGTCATTTTTTCTGTTGGTGTTTTATCAGGTTGTTTTTAATTTTTTTTTTTTTTTTTTTTTTTTTTTTTTTTTTTTTTTTTTTGTTTCACCTTATGTGATGACGTGATAGCTTTGTACAAATAGTGCTCTTTTCCTGAGAAATATCTTTATTAGTGAAACTTAATTCTATGAACCTATGCATTTTACATTGTTAAAGCTGAGCAGTTATTATAATAACGCCTGATGATGTGGCCTTCACTGTCATCCTGACAGCCTGCAGCCATGCGGCACTGTTAGAGGAAGGTTACTGCTTATTTGATATGATGAGTAAATATTCAATTAACCCCTCGCCTGACCATTATGCATGCATGATTGATCTTCTAGGTCGATCTGGCCACTTAGAAGCAGCCTATGATCTTCTTAAGTCATTACCAATTGAGGCCCATGCTGAATGTTGGGGAGCACTTCTTGAGGCATGTAGATTGCATTGTGATATTGAGCTGGCCGAAGTAGTAGCCAATCAACTAGTTGAACTTGACCCTCATAATGCAGGAAATTTTGTTTTGTTTTCCAATGTCTGCAGCAGCAGGTCGTTGGTTGGATGTTTCTAATGTAAGGAACCAAATAGATGCTCGGGGACTAACTAAAATTCATGGTCGTAGTAATATTATCTTTGTATTTTATAATATCATATTTCAATGCAATTTTATTTTATTTTTTATTTTTTAGGACGAAAATTGTAATATTACAGCCTTTTTTAATGAAAAATTGTAACTTTATATATATGTTAGTGTTTATATATCAATTGAAGTGAAAAAATGCAAAAAAAAGTATTATTTTTTTGGGGTATTTTTGGCATCGGTTTTGAAACAGAACCGGTGCTAAAAGTTTTTTTTTAATTTTTTTTCGGCCACTTTTCGCACCGGTTCACACCAAGAACTGGTGATAAAAGTTTTTTTTTTAATATTTTTGGGGACTTTTTCACACTAGTTCACATCAAGAACCGGTGCGAAAAGTCTTGGGATTTGGCATCCCTCAAATCAGAACCGGTTCAAAACCGATGCAAAATGGGGGTTTGAACTGGTGCTGATTAGCAATTTTCGCTTAATGTTTATTGCTCGTGATGGTTTCTTTTTGGAGAAGGAGCACCTTTCCAGAATGACAAGTGGGAGGAAAATCGAACTCAATGAAGTTCAAGAGGACGAGCAACACAACAAATTCAACCTGACAATCAAAGTGCTTTAGAAGCAGCTATTGACATTTGTCAAAGTCAAACCGACAATACAAATGCTCAACCTATTAGCCTGCGTAGGTCGCAACGACCAAGATCTCAACCAGATAGATACCTCGGTGTTGTCTTAACCGAAGATCAAGAAATCCTAATTATGGATAGAGATGAGCCAGCGACGTACAAACAAGCTATGACGAGCCTCGACTCTACAAAATGGCAAGAGGCCATGAAATCCGAGATGGACTCCCTGTTTGAAAATCAAGTCCGGGACTTGGTTGATTTGCCCAAAGGTTACACACCTATCGATTGCAAATGGATTTTCAAGTTGAAAACCGACAAAGATGAAAATGTATCTATATACAAAGCTAGATTGGTGGCAAAAGGTTACAGGCAAATTCACGGCGTAGATTATGATGAAACCTTTTCGCCAGTCGCCATGCTTAAGTCTGTCCGAATTATCCTAGCAATTGTCGCATATTATGATTATGAAATATGGCAAATGGATGTCAAAACCACCTTCCTTAAGGGGATTTTGGAAGAAACTATGTACATGACACAGCTGGAAGGTTTTGTTGATCCAAGCAATGTTGTGAAGGTATGCAAGCTTAAGAAGTCCATTTATGGATTAAAGTAGGCAAGCGGAAGTTGGAATCTGCGATTCGATGAAGCCATTAGTAAGTTTGGTTTTATCAAGAATCCAGATGAATCTTGTGCTTACAAGAAGGTCAGTGGGAAAAACATCGCATTCCTCGTCTTATATGTCGATGACATATTGCTCATTGGAAACATCATCACAATGTTAGAGTACGTAAAGGCCTGGCTTGGAAAGTGTTTTTCAATGAAGGACTTGGGAGAGGCACAATACATATTGGGCATCAAGATCTATCGGGATACGTCTAAAAGGATGATTGGATTGAGCCAAATTACTTATATTGATAAGGTACTGGCACGATTCAACATGGAAGGGGCCAAAAGAGGGCACCTACTCATGTCACATGGTACAACTCTCAGCAAGAAGCAGTGTCCACAATCACCTGATGAGCGAGAGAGGATGAATCAGATCCCATATGCTTCGCTTATTGGATCTATCATGTATGCCATGATATGTACTAGGCCGGATGTATCGTATGCCTTGAGCGCTACGAGCCGATACCAATCAGACCCAAGAGAGACACATTAGACTGTGACCAAAAATATCCTAAAGTACCTGAAAAGGAACAAGGATAAATTCCTGGTCTATGGTGGATGTAATGATTTGGTTGTTGAAGGTTGTACCGACGCAAGCTTCCAGACTGACAAAGATGACTCCAAGTTGCAGTCAGGGTACATATTCTGTCTAAATAGAGGAGCGTTTAGTTGGAAGAGTGCTAAGCAAAGCACTACTGCAGTACTACAACTGAAGCCGAATACTTGGCAGCTTTAGAAGCAGCTAAGGAGGCAGTTTGGATTCGTAAGTTCATTAGTGAACTTGATGTTGTACCCTCCATCAAGGGTTCGATAGACCTCTATTGTGATAACAATGGAGCTATTGCTCAGGCCAGGGAGCCAAGGGAACATCAAAAGGTCAAACATGTCAAGAGGCGATTTCACATGATAAGGGAATGGAAGTCCGAGGGTGAAATCGGAATTTGTAAAATTGGAACGAACGACAATGTAGCCGATCCACTCACTAAACCTTTGCCTCAAGTGAAGCACAACAAGCACGTTGAGGCAATGGGAATCAGGCATGTTGGAGATTGGCTTTGATTTCCCTGTTCCTGTGTTTTAATTAAATTTGAGTTTTTAATGTAAAACACTATGTTGAACCATTCGATTTTGGAGTAATTTAATCTTCTGCAAAATTATTATAACTCCATTTCTATTTAATTGTGGTTTAGAATTAAATAATGAGTCCATTCGATTTCTAAGAATATTCAAAACAGGGTATCAAGACAATGTCTTGGATAAAGAAACACCTGTTAAGTGAACATTGAATTTTTCAATCGAAAATTATCCCTAATCAAGGTCATTTAAATGATGGATGATTAATGTGCACTTGAGATTAGTGTGTAGTATGATTTATAGTACTGTTTTTTGTGCTACAAGGACATGATTGTCATAAATCATTTGCACAGGTACTGGTTTGGAACTATACCGGATTGACCTATGAGAATACTTTAAGAGACTTAAAATAGTCATAAGTATATTTCTCATTATAGCTATTGGAACCTTCTTCCTTGACCATGAGTATTGTAAGTTCTCTTGTTTGAGTACTAGTCCGTTTTGATGTTGTCAAACGTCTGCCGTAAATGGGGATTATAACGACAACACTCGGATGGCTAGGTCCTCTTAGTAAGGGAAGCTAACAATAGAAGACTAGGAATGTCCCCCTATTAACAAAGGCAACATGTCTTTGTTGTTTACAAGGCCTATCAAAGAGCGAGACTGTAAAATGCATGGTCGTGCATAGATGGATTTTAGAAATCATCTGTTTATTGACAACCGAATTCGAAAATCGAGAAACACTTCTGCGCGTAATAAGGATGACGAAGAATCTTACCTTATAGTTCATGAAGAGACATTGAGTGACATAGGAAATGAGTTATACACTAACTGCACACTTGTGCGGAAGGACAAGTGGGAGATTGAAAGGAATGGTGTCCTTCCAACAAGTGTATTCTTCTGATAGAGGGTTCAGAATTATTAGAAAGCTAATTATTCAGTGAGGTCAAGTGATCGGAATGCCTAGCTGGAGGCCGCTTCCGATCAGTAACATTAATGTATAATTAATATTACATCTTAATTTTGACTGAACCTTTCGGGTCACACCCCAATCGAGTAACCGATCCGAGGCGACGAATTAATTCGAAGGATTAGATGAGTCATTAGAGTATTACGAACAAAGACGTCGAATATCGAGCTTAGATTGTCGAAACCGAGCGTCATAAGTCAAGTCGAATTTAGAATTCGACAAGATGAGAAATCAAGCAAACGACAAGTTCAAGCTAAGTCATAGCCTCGCATTGGTCCAGCCATGCGAGTGCTAGGCTAGCATAGGGCACCAACCGCATCGCATGGCTATGCCGCAAGCCAAGCATAAATGTGCATGCTAGGCTTGTTGGCCGAGCATGCTTGCGGGGCTGGTGCACCTGGACACATGCAAGCTAGCAGCTGGCGGGCCATGCGTGCTAACGTGCTAGCATGCTGGGCCTCGCACCCGGCCACACGCAGCAGCTTCTAAGCAGTGCCAAGCATACGCAACGCAACAGCAGCAGCAGCCCGCATAGCGTGTGTGGCTTGCTTGCTGTGCGCATGCATATGCGGGCTGGCTGGCTGGCATGCCTAGCAAGGAAGCTAGGCGCCAGCAAGGCAGCCAACGCAGGCTGCCAGCCAGCTCATGCGTGGCCAGCTCATGCATGGTGGGCACCCGGTTTTTGGTGGATTGCTTGGGGAGCAAGGGGAGTTTGGTCCCCCCTTGTGGTCCTCACATAACCCCCTTGCTCACCTCTTGACTCTTGGCGTTTGTTGATTCACTTGCATTTTCAATTTGATTTTTAAATTAAAATAAATTGAATAAAGTGCAATATTACCAACTCTCCCACATTGATGGGAGATTGGAATTCAAGGCTGCCTTCCCTATAAATACCCATCATTTGGGATTGGAAAGGGACACTTGAGTTGTGAATTTTAAGGGATCTCCAAGAAGAGAACACCTTAATTCTAATATTCTAAGTATTCTTGGTCTAGCCCCGACTAAGGTTTCGGGTAGGGGTCGTTCGGATCGGGTCTCGAGGGTGAGAGCCATTGGAGGCTTGCGCATTTGTGGAGCTTAACGCTTTCAAGTACGAGCTCTTAGAAAGAGCGAAGAATGCATCAAGGGTAAGATCGTCTTCTTTCTCTCTCCTTGTTAATAAATTATGTGATTGTTAATTAATATGCATGTTTAGTTACTTTAATTTGTGTGCGGATTTTGGGAGGTTTCATTCCGCGTAGTGTTGGACACTACGAAACCCAACAAATGCAAACACTATTTTTAAGTATCGTGATCACTTATTTAGTCTAAAAGATTTAAAGAGAACCTAAACCGGTTATTTAAATTATCTTATTAGGTGTGATATTCAATTACATATTCTTAATCAAATATGTAAAAGGGTGATCAAAATATAAATCATACGACATAAATATTAGAAGCAACATCATAAACATTAATAGGAATTGAAACATCCAACGCATAAACCTAAACATGATACTAGCTAAGTAAATAAAAAAATAAACAATTAAAATTACTTACATTTTGAATGCGGTCCCTTAAATTGCTAATCATAAATAATTGTTAATAAGTTCAAGAAATTATAAACTAAACTGAAATAATAACAACAATAATAATGATAATAATAAGAATAATAATTGTAATTGTAATAAAAATAAAAATAAGAATAAAAATAGTAATAAAAAAAAAGATAGATTTGTCAAACTCTTAGAAATTCAACTTTTTACGCTTATGTTTAATAGTAAAACTCCATGTATTACAAAGGAACTTCAATTTACTTAAAAAGGGATGTG